GTCAATCAAAACCAGAGCACAGATGATACCAATGCTAAAGTTATCTAAGAAAAGCTTTAAAAAGAGTAAGTTTACTGTGCTTCTATGCTTCCAGAGTTAGAAGAAATATATCCATGGTAAATAGAGAGGTGAAAGATAAAAAGAGAGATCCAGGTCAAACTTCCATAAATAAAGCTACAAGGACCGAGGTGGGGAACACAGTGAATCCCACCAACAGATCAGACACTGTGGAGGAAAAGACTAATAAATTAAAGATATAGAAAAATTACATCCAGATGGAAAAATACTGTGAAACAATAAATTCATTGTAAGGTACCCACTAGCTTTCCAAATCCACAGTGTAAATTCCCAGTAGGGTTGCTGTGGGAGGTAGGATTATTTGTTCTTCTCACTTTTGGCTATCACTGACTCTGATTCCTGCGACCCCCAGAGCCTGTTAAAACTATGTCCTCTTATATATTCTGATATTCTGGGAATTACGACCCAATGAGCCTCCTATTCCTGCTGTTACTTGCTCACTGACCATCAACCCAGAGGCCATATGTAGCATGCCATTGCCCTCCCTCTAAAAGAGTTAATGTTACATGACTGTCAAGGTTGTTAAAGCTGTAGCTACACTGTGTGCCTTTCTCATACCAGCCCCGTGTTCCTTCTTCACTAGTCTTTTTTTTTTTTTTTTCATTTAATTTGGTTCTAAGACTTTGAAAGAAAAATTCTAAAGAAAAATAAATCTAGTCCTTCCAGGTCTTCTACACAAACTTCAACATCTGTCCCAATCAATGCACACAAAGCAAATTAATCACTGTATAAACGTACTGATCCTTAGAAGGCAATGAGAACTATGAGGAGTTTGTGTTTGTTTCCTGTTCTACTTATGTTGGGTTCAGAGGACAGAGGTAGTAACATTTCTTCTCTGTTGATTTTTAGAACAGAGATTTTCTATACAGTTAGTTACAAATACAGTATATCATAGGTAAATTCCAATTATATACCCCACCAAACATATGCAGTGTACTCAGTGACTGACAGAAGGAATTCATTTATCTTATTAATAGTTATGCCCAGCTAACTCCACCATGGGTCTTCAGTGGTGGATGCGGCAATGGGCTATGGTAATCCAGGATATCTCCTATCCAATATGACAGCAGAATAACCACATATTTAATTAATTACTGATAAATTTAACAAACAAATCCACATCACACATGTATAAACTCACATATGAGGACTTAAATCATGTGTGACTCTCATATTAGACAACTTTATGGAACTGGGAAATCCATAATGCTGTGGTGACTGTTTTCTAGATTAGTCTGTTGACTACTGTGAGAAAAAAATAAAGAAAATCTCTCCCACTTCTAATTGGGGAGCTACTGTCAACCGATGGCTACTATTAGAATGAGAGTTGGTTATCTTCGGAGATGCACGTCTGGGGGCCCTATCCATGCTCCAGAGATGGCCCTATGTCCACATCTGCAGAGGCAGCACGAAGCAGAGTCAGGAGGTTTCAAAACAAAGAATCTGGAGTTGGGACGATAAAGGAGGTAGGAAGATAAAGCACATATTGGAGGAGAGAGATTGTGGACTGGACTTAATCAAAATACTCAATATTCATGTATGGCATTCTCAAAGAGTAAACAAGATTTTTAAAAAGCCTCCAAGAATCCAATGCAGAGAAGGGAAGGTATGTTGTTACTTAGCCATCCGAGATCCAATGCAAAGAAGGGGAGGTGTGCTGCTAAGCAGCTCTCTCCAGAATCATGACCTGTCTCAATCCATTTGGGGTTTGATGAGGACTCATAAAATGTGCGTTTCTAGTGTTCCCAGTGTTAAAGGGATTTCAATAAACTGGGCTGCTGAAATACACACCTGGAATACATGTAAACGCAATGAGGATGCTTCCTGATGACACAGAAAGAAAAGATGACTCTAGAGTTAGTAAATTCTAATGACTAAGCCCTGAGACACATTTAGAATTTCTAACAAGAGAAGTTAGCTATGAGTGTTCTCATGGCAAAGGAATTTTCTTCCTCAGTAAAAGAAGATAGTTTTTTACCTTCATATTGATGTTTGCCGTAGCCATCAGTGAAAAAAAAATGAAAACAAGGCTCTGGCCGGGCGGTGGTGGCACACGCCTTTAATCCCAGCACTCGGGAGGGAGAGGCAGACAGATCTCTGTGAGTTCGAGACCAGCCTGGTCTACAAGAGCTAGTTCCAGGACAGCCTCCAAAGCCACAGAGAAACCCTGTCTTGAAAAAAACAAAAACAAAACCAAAAACAAAACAAACTAACAAACAAACAAAACCAAGGCTCAGTGCTGGCTATATTGGATTTCCATGCTTAAGGTCAAGCTTATAGCCAACCAGGCTGAGGACTTCCTTGGTAGAGAATGGCCCAAACTTTCCACCCAGGTTTTTTTCATTAATTACTGGAAGACACTGGTGAGCTTGTTTGAAATGTGATGGTGTTTTTATATGCAGGAATTTAAGCTTAAAACATTGCAGCTGAGAATATAATGATTGAAGAGTACAAGCTCTGGCTATATTGTCTTGGGCCAAAAATGTTATGTGTTGTTGCTTTGGGAAGGTAAAAACTGAAATATGGGACTAAGAAAACTAGCTAAGGTCTATCATTTCCTTACCCCAACAGGTACCCCAAAGAGCATGTTCCCAGATGCAATTGGTGCAAGCAAGCACTCTCCTGAAATGAAGCTCTTCAAGGACCCCTAAATGGCATGGCCTAGGTTGAGTTGTAGAGTATGGTGATATAAATAATCACATGATTTTGATAGGCAGAATAGACTAGGAATCTTTACTTCCTTTCCAAGCATACATTGTGACTCTAAATGTCTGACAAGAAAAAGAAACTAGACTGCCTTTCTCTGTTCTCTTTCACAGATATGGAAAACATGAGCTAATTAAAAACATTTTGTGTATGAGAAGATACTCATTTGGGAAATGGTAGGAAAAATGGCTAGAAAAAGGGCAGGCTTTCTATTTATAGTTTATTTCTGCAACTCACTTAGGTCTGCAGTGAAGGAGAAGTGGCTCTCTTGGAACACGGCATCTACCAAAAGAAGTATGCTAACACCTGCAGTTTCATTCTAATAAAAGACAGAACAGTGACACATACTCTTTGGGTGTGGATCTTCATAAAATTTTCCAGGATTTTCTGCTCACCATTCCTTACTGGGAAAGATACACGGGAAAACAGTATCTAAATTAGGCTTCCCAGTGGTTGCATGGGCTATCGGGCTATCGATTTAGTTTAACTTTCCAAAGAAATACTATGTGTCTGACATCAATTTTCTCGATTTTATTTATCACTTCTCCAATATGCTCTTAACACTTTAAACATTAAGATATATTCCTTTTTATTTTAGTAATAAGTGACTTTGAGTAAATTACCACCAATTATATGGAGGCACTGGTGGGTTTTTAACAGTAACTTTGAGAAACTGTTAAGACTGTCAGAGGAAAATTGCTTCTAGTTAGAAATTAGATGAAGAGGACCAGATTGACTTTGAAATGGCAGTCACTGCAAAGATGTGACACTGATCATGTAACTTTTATGAGTTAGTGGGTGGACTGCTTAGTAGGCAACTGAATGACATTCTAATGAGATGCCAGGAGGATGCACTATAGACAGAACCAACACCCAGCACCAAGGGTATATAAAGAAGTCTGGCATGTAACAAACAGCAACTTGTTCCAGGCCTGGTTGTCTATCTTTTTATTGCTATCATGTCCAATAACTGCTGCTCAGAAGCCTGCAGCTCCTCTTCTCTGAGAAACTCTGGTCATGTTCCTGCCTCCTCACCCACTGGCCTTTGTTCCACTGAGATGAGGTGTAGAGAAGCCCCTCGCTCTCCTACCAGCAGCCTGGGCAGCAACACACCATGTGACAACTGCCATGAGCCCTGCGGTGAACACAGGAACTGCCAATCGACCAGCTGCAGCAGGAACACTAGCAGCCCTTCAGTTGGCTCTCCAGTTACTTCAGGGGTATCTGGATCCCAGGAGGGAAATAGCTGTCTTCCTGTCTCATCCTGCAGTTCCAGCTGTGGCCGTGCAAGATCCTGTAGAAAACCTTTGCGTTGCTACCTTCCACGTTACCAGTCTTATGGCTGTCAACCCTTGGACTACCTGACCTATGATCGTCTACCACTGAGAAACCTGACCTATGGATGCCAGCCTTTTAGTTGCATACCTGACTACTACAGGCCCACAAGCTATACGTATGGCAGGTTTCAACCATACTCCTCTTGCTTGAGTGGTTGCCGTTATTCGTACTAAAGGAATTCATGAGTAGCTGAGAAAAAGATATTTGAAAACATATCAGCCAGCATCACAGGGAGAGCTGTTGTTCCATGGGCTATATTGTGTGTTCTCATTCTATAGTAATTCTCTTCAACTGAACTTCTTGGTGCCTTAGGGATGTGTATCACTTACTTTAGTATTTTTTTCATAGCTTGATATTGTTCTACTTTGGTAAAATGGTTTTCTTCTGTGTTCATTCTAAATAAATCATGGCTTTGCATTAAGATCATGCTTATCACGTGTCATCATTTACATGTATGTAATTTGTCCCTGGTTTTCTCCTTGGAAGCTATGGACATCGGCTACTTTAGGTGAAAATAATGGTTATTTGGGATTAACTATGGAGAATATTAAATATTTCCAGGAGTTTTTTTTTTTTTTTTTTTTTTTTTGAGACAGGGTTTCTCTGTGTAGCTTTGGAGCCTATCCTAGCACTCGCTCTGGAGACCAGGCTGGCCTTGAACTCACAGAGATCTTCCTGCCTCTGTCTCCCGAGTGCTGGGATTAAAGGCGTGAGCCACCAACGCCCGGCTCCAGGAGTTTTTTTAAAGACCCATGTAAAAAAGCAATGTTTTTAAAAGATTTTTAAAAGGACATCTATGAAACAATAAAAGTAAGGCTCAAAAAACTGGCTCAGTGCATGAAGGTGCTTGCTGTGAAAGACTTCTGAACTGAGTTCTAGTTCTGGAGCCTATGACATAAAGAAGAAGGAAAACAACTTCAGGAAGCTGTCCCCTGCCCTTCACACACATGGCGTGCATCAACAGCCACTTGCATCACAGAGATATAAAGGGATACAGGGGAGAGAGGGAGAGAGAGAGAGAGACACAGAGAGAGAGACAGAGAGACAGAGAGAGGAAGAGAGAGAGGGACAGAGAGAGGGAGGGAGAGAGGAAGAGAGAGAGGGACAGAGAGAGGGAGAGAGAGAAAGAGGGAGAGAGAGAGAGAGGGACGGAGAGAGGGAGAGAGAGAGAGGGACGGAGAGAGGGAGAGAGAGAGGGAGAGAGAGAGAAAGGGACACAGAGAGGGACAGAGAGAGGGACAGAGAGACAGTAGGTGAGAGAGAGAGGGAGAGAGAGGAGACAGATGGAGAGAGAGGGAGAGAGAGCAGACAGGAGTGGGAGAGGGGAGAGAGAGAGAGGAAACAGAGAGAGAAGGTAAAGAGAGAGGAGAGGGAAAGAAGAGAGAGAGAGGAGAGGGAGGAGAGAGACAGATTTCTTTTAAAAATGGAAGAAACTAAATAATATATCAAAGTAAGGAAGTAACCTGTCAACATGTCCACATGTCTGTGTGCTTGGCTTCATTTGCAATCTGATGTTAAGAACTTTCAGGAATCTGGACATGGTGGAGGGGCACTTTTAATCACAGTACTTGGAAGGCAAACAGAGGTAGATATCTGTGAGTTTGAGACCAGCCTGGTCTATAGAGTGAGTTCCAGGTCAACCACAGCTGTTACACAGGAGAAACCCTGTCCCAAAACAATGCAAAACAAACAAACAACAACAAAAAAAGCAAGGCAAAAAAAGTCCTTCCAGAAGCAGGGAGATTCATTTTGATAGGATAATCCTAATAACAGTGTTATAAGATAAGCTCACAGATTTATATTACCTGAAGTCCACAAAAAAGTATTAGTTTAGATTTTGCCAACTGCATCTTCTGATGTCACTGTTAGAGTCCATTAGGGTCTTTATGCGGTCATTTAAAGAGTAATTGGCAGATGTGTCACTATGATGTGGCTACCCAGAGACATACTGGGAGCACTCCCTACAACATAGTCAGCATGGAACCCATTTCCATGGCTTTACCTGTCTATAAGAGATGCTATTACAGCAGATGCAATTTTCTAAGTCCAGAAAAATAGGAATATAGAATTTTTAGAATATACCACAATTTGGCATAGGGGCTAACCTAAGACTAATTAAGGGAATGAAAGAAAACAGCAAATGTTTTCTCAGTAATACTTTAATTTATAGCAGAGTTCTGCTGAATTTGAACTTTGTAAAAATTTGCAAGGTCTGTACACCTAATGTTCCTGCTTTGGTTTAAAAAAATCCCATATACATTCAGTTTCATTTTCAACAGGTACAATGATGGTAGACTGTAGTTCTTTGGTCTAAAACAACAGGTTTTTTTATTGTTAATTTATCACTTGTTACTTTCAAATTGGAAATTCTGTATATTTCTGAAGTGACCACTTACCAAACAAGGTGATATATACAAGCAGGGATTATGACATTTTGGCATCACTAGCATGCATTCACTTTTCTAGCAGGATTGAAGAGAGTAAATGCTGCAAGTCAGGGTCTTCTTACGCATTTCCACACTGACAGGTCTCTGTAACACTCTTTTACTGAAAGAAAGTCATCACAATTTTACAAGCAAGAAGGCCTGCATTTGGAATTTCAAACAAAATGTCTGGTATATCTTTCTATGTATTTATCTATGCATCTACCTATCTCTACACCTAGAATATTTATAAATAGATTAAATATAGATAGGTGGTAGATAGATAGATAGATCACTTCAGGAATCATTGTCAGGTCTATTTTGTTTTAATTATTTAAATTTTAAATATTTAAGATGAACTTTATACGAAATTAAAAGAAAAATATAGAAAAATAATGTGAAGTTAAAGCCTCATTACACATTTCTGGTGGATAGCCATTGTTATATTTTTAATTTTTTAATTATGTGTTTAGATGTGTGTCTGTGTGTGGAGTTATAGGAGGTTGTAAGTTGCCTGTGATGGGTACTGGGAACTGAACTCTCGACCACTGAGCCATCTGCACAGCTCCCCATGTTTCCAGTGTATAACAAATAATTGACATTAGCTTTGATCTTTAGTATGAATGGAAAAATGGTTACTTCTGTACTACTGATGCAGAAATAGGTTCAATTAAATGAATCTTATTATAAGATCATTATTGGTTCATGAAAGAATCTCATTTTCAATTCAAAACAGTTTATTGATATTATAATATGTAGTTGATTTATACTGTCACTTTATTAATAGAAATAGATATACAAGAGAAATTTGATTATTCTTTCAGGAAGTGTTTTAAAGGAATAAATATTAAATAATAGCAAGAATGAGAATTGAAACATAAATGGGTGATGTCTTGTCTACATGAATAGAAAACGTGTTTTGTCACAAGAATAAATGAGTCACAACTGCTATAATACACCCATTTGAAACACTCTTCATTTACAACTATAAGCTACCAGTCAATATAGGGGAACACCACTGCTTACTAAGCAAAAAAATGTGGATATTTTCACTGTGAAATAACTCAATTTGGAAACAACTGTCTCAGAAAGCTGTAGTCATTATGTATAATATTCAAAAGTTCAGCTCTCTTGACATTTTAGCTATCTAAAACAATCATGTCAACTAGTTTAGATTTAAGTTTCATACTGTATAAAGTGTTGAAGAGATTCCTAATAAGACATTTCCCCATTGATACATTGACACATGCTTGTGATCCCAGAATTTGTGATGCTAAGACTGGGAGGTCATAAGATTAGTCCAGCCTACAATATATAGTGAGATTCTGTTGAGGAAGAGGAAGACATGGAAAATAAGGTGTCCATTATCAATACCATGTGTAAACAATGCAAACTGAATTACATGTAGTTATCAGGCATTTCGAGAGGAAAATTGGAGTTCATTTACAGATCAATTTCCCACTCGTAATGCCTGATAACTACAAAAGTTAGGCAGAGGGGCTACAAGTGAGCTGTGATATATCATGACATCATATGCGAAGTGCTTTCCTGCAAACTGAAGGATGGAAATAAACAAATAGGAAAATGAATGAGAAGATACATGAAAAAAGGAGGAAACTGCAAGTAATTGGATCACTGATTGAAAACAATCTTAATAAATTTGAAATACTTGGAAGATAGTTAGCTGGCTCAAGTGTTGAAGATCAAGCATAGTGTAAACTGAGAAAGGCTGTAGAGGTAGATTAGGTTTCAAATACCCAAGAGCAATATCAACAAAGAAAAGCATAAAAGAAAGAATTTGATCATCATACAAGGAACAGATTGGAATAGGAAACGGAGAATCTTACAAGTAGGCGGTCTACTTGTTACACTGAGGATTGATGGTGGGTTGCAAATCATCCTGATGAGAAGTAGAAGGCAAATTAGGCATTGCACAGAAGAGTGGTAGTATTTGTTTATTATTCATGAGCAGTTAAGAGAAATGAAAGAACCAATTACTGACGATTAATGATACTTAGTTATGACACTCTTGTCCCTACTGTGTTCTACCTACCTGATCCATTTGGTATAGAGACCAAATTTTTACTGTGGTCTAAAAAGAAAATTTTGATAGTTTGCCTACTTATGTGCAGAAGAAGAGATCTCATAGGTCAGTGTTGGTCCCTTGTTTTCAAACCACACACACAAAAACAAACCAATAAAGTGAAACGAATCTTGAACTGTGACAGAGTCTTCTGGCAGCACACACATATAACCATCTTCAGAAACAAATTATGAAGGTGAGAAAAAAGAATTTTTGGAAGAACAGAAGAATTTGAAAAAGGTCTCCTTTTCTAGAGTCCTTGAAGTTCTTACAAGAGATGGGAAATGTCAGAAAGACTTCACAAACTCATCTCAACCCCCAGTGGCTTCAATCTCTTGTTTGATTTTCTACAAGTAACAGACCACATACCAATTTGAGGTGATCTGAGATAGTGAGGAATGGGTTCTTTAAAATACTGACTTCAAAATTCAAGTATGAAATGTTAAACATTTTTTCCACTGTTTGAAAAAATGGATTAAAATCCAAAGTGGTGGTCCCTCACTTCTCAATGGCATGGTTTTTTTTTTATAAAAACATATTAAAATATGCCTTTCCTGTGTGTGCCCTTATTTGCTTCTGTAAATACTTCAATGATATGTGAGATCTTCTCACCTTTCCAGAAAAACATACAAGCTCCATGAAAAAGTTTTGGTTTCTTTCTAAAGGA